GGACAACCTTTACATTATCAAGCTCACTCTCCTCCTCCTTCGACTTCCAAAGTCATTCCTCAGTCTAATTCTTTGGCTGAGGATTTGCCGTCCAGTATGCTTCCCAATGTGGAACCAGCCAGCAATATCATTGTGGAACCTGTGACGGATTCTACCGTTGCAAATATTCCTAATCTCAACATTCCTACTGAAGAAATCTCTGATTCTTCATCCTCTATGATGAACATTACCCACAAACAATCTACAGCCATTACCTCTCCTAACAAGTTTGAGATTTTAAACTCTCAAATTGATTCTGATCAGCAGGATGATTTGGTGTCCGGTAAAGATTTTGTTGGTAATTCTCATAAGCAACCTGGGAAAAGCAAGAAGCAGTCAATGTTAGAAACATCCAAAAAGTCTGCTAAGGGAAAGCAGAGTAAAAAATCCCAATCTCAAAATACTTCTTAATGTCTTTTCCTAACATTGGAGTTTGGAATGTTAGAGGCTTTAATAAGCTTGAAAAAGTTTTAAGTTGTAAAAGGCTTATTTCTTCTCTTAAGCTGGACATGCTCTGTTTGTTAGAAACTCGCATTCATGCGTCTTCTCTGGTGGAACCCTTTTTTGATTCGGCTCATTCTTTGTTTCCGAATGAAGCTAGTTTTAATAATTTTAACCTCTCTTCCTCTGGTAGGATATGGGTTAAATGGAATTCTGGTAAGCTTGCTTTTTCTCCTTCTCTTGTGACAACACAATTAATCAATGGGATTGTTACTGTGGGTAATCAAAACCCCTTTCAGTTATCTTTTGTTTATGCGGCTAATGGCTCTTCTGAAAGGAAAGATCTTTGGACTTCTATCAGTCAAGTGGCTCCCTCTACTGATCTACCTTGGGCTGTACTGGGGGACTTTAATTGTTGTCGCTACGCCAATGAGAAATTTGGTGGCTCTGCTCTCCATCATTCTAGTCTGGTTGATCTCAATTCTATGATTTTTGCTAATAATTTGATGGATTTGCATTCTGTGGTAACTTTTTTACTTGGTATAATCAGCAAGCTAATAATCCTATTTTTATTAAATTGGATCGTGCTCTTGTCAATGATGATTGGGTGAAGAAATTTTCTTCTTCTTTCTGCTCTTATCAGAGCCCATCTTGCTCGGATCACTCTCCGATAATTTTACATTCAGGGGTTTCCTCTACCTCTTATCACCGATTCTTATTCAAGAATTTCTGGGCTAAGCATGATAAGTACTGGTATTTTCTTTTAAATGCTTTTTCTCTGCCGATTACTGGGAATCCTTTATCCCATTTTTGTAATGTTCTAAAACGTCTGAAAGGTGATATTAAACATCATGATTGGGCAAACTCTAATTCTTTAGATGTTCAGCTTGATGCCCTTCATGTCAAACAGCAGAATCTTCTGAATATCCTTCAAAATTCTCATCTGGATGATGCTCTCAATGTTGCTCTCAAAGACAAATTTACAAATTTCTGAGGTTACTTCTAGGAAGGCTAGTTGGATTATTCAGAGAGCTAAAATTAATTGGCTTCATCATGGAGAAGATGATCTAAAATTTCTGTATGCTAAAATTAGAAGTAGAATGGGAAGTTCTAAATCTGTTGTTAATTTATTTTCCTGTAATCCTACTTCTGATAAGAAAGAGGTGATTAATTCTATTATTGGGCATTTTCAGGAACTTTTCAATCCTCTTCCTTCTTCGTATAGGAATGTGGATGTTTTTCCCATAGGGTCTATTGTTCCTGATTTCTACACTAATTTGCTTACTGCCCCGATTTTAGATGATGAAATTAAGGTTGCAGTTTTTAAAGGCTCTTCTAAATCCTCTCCTGGCCCTGACGGTTTCAATTATTACTTTTATAAATATGGATGGCATATCATTGGTCCGTTGGTGTGCAAAGCCATCAGATTTTTCTTCTTAAAAGGATTTCTTCCTAGTGGGATCAAAGCTACTGCACTTGCTATCATTCCCAAACATCGAAATGCCACTTCTATCTCTGATTATAGGCCGATTTCTTTATGCAATACTCTCTACAAAATTATTGCCAAAATTATTGCAATAAGGATGAAACCTATTATGCCTCTCATTGTTAAAGACACTCAAGCCGGTTTTGTGAAATCGAGAATATCCACTGATAGTATTCTTCTTGCTAGTGATATCCTTTCTTTGGTTAATAAGAGAGGTTTTGGTAACATTTTTTGTGCCAAGATTGATATCAAAAAAGCCTTTGATTCGGTCTCCAGAGAATTTTTACTAGCACATATGTCTCAAAAAGGTTTCCCTAAACCTTTTATCCAATGGATTAAGGCTTGTATTACAAATGTTAATTTTTCTGTAGTAATTGAAGGTGCTTTGGAAGGTTATTTCTCTTCATCTGCAGGGCTAAGGCAAGGTTGCCCTATCAGCCCTTATTTATTTTGTTTGGTCATGGATGCCTTTTCTAATCTTTTGGAAGAGAGAGGTTTTAAAGGTTTTAAAGATGGTGATTATCACTTATCTCATCTTCTTTATGCGGATGATGTTTTAATTATTGGAGAGGCTACTGTGGAGAATTGTTTAACACTTTCAGCTATTCTTAATGAATTTGCAGCTGCCTCGGGTTTGCATATTAATTTTGAAAAGTGCTCTGTTATGTTTTCAAAAAATCAAAGAAATCAAGATAGATTGTGCCAAGCTCTCTCTATCTATAATGTTGCATCAAAGATCACATACCTTGGCATTCCTATCTCCTTCTATAGGTTGAAGGTCATTGATTTCCTACCTTTGATGGATAAGTTGAATAAGAAATTTACAGGTTGGAAAGCTAACCTATTATCTCTGGCCGGGAGACTGCAATACTTAAAGTTTACTATTCAAAACACAATAGCTTATTGGATCAGAGGTTCCATCTTACCTAAGACTGTTATTAAGTTTTTTAAGAAAGCTTGCTCTAAATTTTTATTCTTTGGAGACATTACTAGCTTAAGCAAACTGCATATGATATCCTGGGATACTGTTTGCAAGCCTATACTGAAAGGGGGTTTGGGCATTCCTTCTTTATGTGCTCTTACTCATGCTTTTAACTGCTCTGTCATTTATCGGATGTACAATTGTAACTCTCCATTATCTGACTGGTTAACTGCTCATTATACGTCTCCTTGGCGTCCTCCATCTTCCGATGCAAGCAAATTTTGGATGTCTGTCTGTAAGACTGCTGTTTTGACAAAATCAAATTTTAAGTTCATTATTACACCTAATGCTCCTATTTCTGTTTTTTGGGATCATTGGTGTAATAACTCTTCTCTAGCGGATTTGGGGGGAGATGTATTACTGGATAGCTTTTCTTATCCTCTCCTCAAGAATTATATATCTGATTCAAATTGGGTGTTGCCAAATGATATTCCTATGAATATAAGAACTGCTGTTTGTAGAAACGAGATTCAACTCAACTCTTCTGTGTGTTTACTCTGGAAACACTGTGAGAAGCCTAAATTTTCAGATTTCCTGCTGGATTGCTACAGTCATTTGACTGATTGTAGCTGGTATAATTATGTTTGGCACAAAAAGAACATATTGAAACATTCGGTTTATGTTTGGCTTGCTCTTGTTGGGGGTTTGAAAACTCAGGATGCCTTAAAACTAAGATCTATTTATGTGCAAGAAAATTGCTCTCTCTGCCATTATGCTCCTGAAACTGTGAATCATCTTTTCTTTGAGTGTTCCTACTCTTTTTCGATACTGAATTCTCTTATCCCTGGTTCGAAGAACTTTTTCTTTAGACCTACTATTCTGCAACTGTGTCAATGGGTGGAAAATGAATTTTCTTATTCTCAATACTTTAGGAATTTTTATTTCCTAATGATTTGCTGCATCATTTATCAACTTTGGAGAGAAAGAAATTGCAGAAGATTTGGTAATGAGTTTCAGAGCTCTTCCTCTCTTCTTTATCTTATAAAAAGGCTGATTATTGAGAAAGTCTCTAGGTGGAAAAATTCTAATGAGCTACTGGAGAATTTCTGATTGCTGGCTTGGTATATTTTTGCTGCTGCTGTTCTTGTTTTTGCTGGTTTTTTGTGGTTATAATCAGAGATATGATGATACACCGTTGCTACTCTCTGTTATTTCTCTCCCTTGGAGGGCCTTCGGGGCAACCAGGGATATGCTGTTTTTTGTTGATAAAAGCCTGAGCCCTGATTATATGGATGCTGGAGCACTTTTGGAGATCTTTTTTTGCTGCTGCTGCCTTGTTTCTTTTGGCTTTCTTAATTTTACAGGCTCTTTCTTGCTGGATGCTGGATGCTGGAGCACTTTTGGATGATTATTCTACCTGCCAGTTTTTGCTTAGTCCTGGATTGTTGCTGCTCGTGGTTTTTGTTACAAGAGTTCTCTCGATCGTGTTCAAGTTTTGATCTGCGAATTTTATGTTGTTTTTGTTATTGTATTTGGGTGGTATAGTTGGGGTTTTTTCGGACTTTGCATAAGGTTTTGTTTTTTCTGCTTATGCAAGGTTTAGTCATTTAATTTTACATTTATTCTTGTAACTCTTTTCATTTGAAATATATGGGCTTTGGCCCCAAAATTTCCCAAAAAAAAAAAAAATACAATTAAATAGAACCCTTAGATCTCATGAGAAACCATCAATAAGAGAAAGTATCTTGCCACTAAAAGGAAGGGAAATAAATGCTTTAACATATGCAATATTGGAAATTCTCTGATTTTTACAAAGAAATCATTTCAGCATCAAAACAGACTTCTAAAACATTTATGCGAACTACATTTCACATCATTTTATCAATCTTTTCAGCCAACCAATTCTAACATTTTTCACAAATTAGCAGTCATCATCATTGGTAAATACACAAAAGCATTGGTTAGCTTAGCAAAGGTGACTCCTAACTAGAGCTGAGAAAATTTGAAGATGAGGCCACATAAAATGAAGCTCAATAAGACAACAAATTAAAGAATATCATAGACAGGAAGAAGATCACCGACGTCTACAATTTGCAGAGGAAGAGCAATGGATCACAGCCAAACAGGCATAGAAGATAAGAATAGGTTGGTACAAATAATTCATAGGGAAGAAAATGATAATTGATGTAGAAGGAAGAATGCTAAACATGGAAATATACAAGGTTTCCGATAACCACTGCTTTTAAATGTTTTCCTAATTATACAACTATGTCCACAAAAAGGAAAAAATAGATAATCTAAAATACTAGAAAGATTTTACAAAGCATGTAGAAACAACATCTTGATGGAACTTTTCATGATCAGCTCAATAAAAATAATAGACCTTTAAAACACTCCATGCTAACAAATTTAGCAGAACTAACCTACAATTTCACACTCTTAAGTAAAAAATATTGTGCTTATCAAGTTGATTTGAGGGTCTCATCTTATGCTGTTCTGAAGTTCTGTGACAAGGCCTCATAGTAACGCCTTTGCTGCAACGTACAATAACAAAAGGAGGGAGAACAAGTTTAGAATTTGTTTAATGAGGTTCAACATGGCTAGCCAAATAAAATCAATATAAACAAAAATAAGAGGCCCAGAAACAATGAAAAAAGAAGACAAATGTCAAAGAGCGTCCTTCTACAGGTTAGTTCTGAACTAAATTGGGACAACATAATAATATGGGACTAAATTAACTATACACGAATAGTCTGAGGTCGCTTCAAAGATTTTTTTGATTAAAAAAGGTAAATGTACAAGTTATTTCTCTTTTTAATACCTGCTCTGAGACTGATGGGATAATCTTTTCAAGAGCCTTCTCAAAGTGTGATGTCTTGATCATCAATGGTTCATCATATGAAATCCCTTGGTCCACATACATTTGTTTCTCCTCCTTAACAGTCATGGCTGCTTCATTCACCTGTTATAGAAGGAAAAAAATTGCAAGCCAATTGAAGCATAAAAATGATGATGGTAGCTCCCAACATTAGTAGCAAGTGTGTAAACAAAAATCTATTTGAATTGATGTTGTGGTGGAAGAGGCAATTATGTCAGTCAACATGCCCTGCTATATTATAAATGTGTGATTTTTATTATACATATACAATGCAACCTTACCAAAGCTGCAAGATCAGCCCCAGATAGATTCATGCAAGCCTCTCTAGAGGTAAACACATTGTAATCAAAATCTGGAGAAACGGGCTTCTTGCGAGCAAGTGCTTTTAAAATCAAACCCCGTTCATCAGCGCTCGGAAGTGGAACATAAAATAGCCTTCCAAATCTACCAGGCCGTAGAATAGCAGGGTCGATCACTTCAAGCCTGACATATCATTTATAAGTGGAAGTCTAGAAGAAACATTAATTGAACCAAATAAACTTCAATAATAAGCAAGGACACCTATTTGTAGCTCCAATGACATAAACACCATGCCGCTGATCAGCACCATCTAGTTCTATAAGCAGCTGCATTTAAAAAAAAAAAAAGTTATCCAAGCATAAACATGAAATTTAAACAGAGACGCAAGTAACATCATTTAATATATGCCACACAAGAATACAATGGCATGCTATATCCACAAGAAAACAAACATAAAAAAAATAACCTGATTCAGGGCCCGTTCCACAACCCAAGCACCCTCTCTTCCTCGCTTAGGTGTTAATGCATCCACCTTAAACAAATAAATAACACAAAATCAACATAACTATCACTCAAAATAGGATTTTTTTTTTTTTTTTACTTTTAGCATTTGATATTAGCTTTAGTTGTTACCTGATAAGTAACAGAAATCAATTAATCTTAATGTAACTAAACCCTAAACCTTAGATGGCACTATAATAAATTCAGTTCTGCTAGGACCAGCAATTGCAATACTAAGAACATAAAAAAGACTTCAACAAAGAATTGAAACAATTAAATGATAGGAATGAAGCACACACTTCATCAAAGAAAAGTATGCAAGGAGAACAAGTCCTTGCACGTCTAAATATTGTTCTAACTTCTTCCTCGCTTTCTCCAACATACTTCCTCAAAATTTCAGGACCCTGCATTTCATGGATACAAAGAAAACAATTATTTTCAAACTAAACAACTGTTCACTACCTGAAATGATTGGTCGATGAGCATTACGTACAAGATATTTTTTAAGTGCCAATTTTTCATATTAGTGATGCCACTTGTAAAAGAGCATCAAGAACTCAATGAAAACTTCAGACAGCTTACACGCACCTTAATGTGAATAAAGTTGGCACCAGCCTCATTGGCCACAGCTTTTGCAATCAATGTTTTACCACATCCGGGAGGTCCATAAAGCATAAAACCAACCTCCATGTCCACCCCAAGTTCCTGAAGATAACATAAACCAAACTTATGGGATTTTACTTGGAAGCAAAAATTTACATCCAATAAAACTAGTACCGAGAGCAAATGACAATTGAGATAAATTTCACCCCCTGTTGAGACCTTGCATTAGTAGGATCTCCATGCACAATATACGCCCCTTTTTTAATTCAATGTCGAAGTTAAGCTAGCATTCTTAGTAAAATATCAAGAAACTAGAAGATAGCCCGAACAAATCATTAATAAGCAAAGAATAAATATTTGACAAGAATGAGCTCGACATTTTGAAATTGAACGTTATCTAAAACATATGATCAAGTAAATCCTAAAAAGCCATAGAATCAAATGTTGGAAGTTTTAATGGCAATGATATCAATAATAATGACACAGTTTTTCCACATTCTCTTGCTACCTTGCATTATGAACTTCTATCTACAGGTTCATCCATAATGACTTCTATACCACTCAAAAGGCATCAAGTTCCAAATTAAGCATATGAATGGCCTAACTAAACAATCAGATGTTTTGACTTTCTTTTACTTCGAAATTCTTGTATTCTAAATAAAAAAGGAGGTACAAATATTCTGATACACCTCAATAAGTTTTAGCTACTAGCACATCCTTGGAACATACACATGCTCATGTCTAATCAATTAACATTTACAATCAGCAAGCAATAAAAATTGCAAGTCACTTGCATATATCAGCAAAATGAAAAACAAAGGCAGAAAAGTTTCCTATGCTACAAGTATAAGCAAAACTAGATGATGAATATGACACAAGTTTGTAGTAAAATGGTTTAGAGGTTTACATTCACCAAACTTTTTATTCATGTAGATTACCTCATAATCCTCTGGATGCTTTATGCGTTGAATAATGTAACGATTAAATGCTTTCCTCAATGAATCAAGGCCACCAACATCCTCCCATTTGATATTAGGAATCGAGGAAAATCCCTCTCTTCTAGTAGAGGGCTGGACCAATTTTGTAGCTTCCTGGAATAAGTAAAACAATAAGTCATTCTTGAACATAAATGACAGATGCATGAGCAACCTGAGCTGCATGGACTACATCAAAATGCTTTTTTTGTAATACATTTCCATACATAGCATTAAGCATAAGAGAACGAAGCCTAAAGTTTGCATAGGTTCAAAAATAAACTACATGTACAGCACATAACAATGTTCAGGGCACAACATATAAATTCTACACAGGCACACGAACTTTTATTACGTCCGGTGTAAGGACGTAGAGGAACGTCCGGTCGGAGGCAAAATTCCGCCAAAAAACTAGGTATTTGCTCGGTATTGCTAGGTATTATTTGATAATAACAAGGAATACCGCTCTGTGAAGACCAATACCGAGTTATACCGAGCTATACCGAGCAATACCGAGTTGTACCGAGTTTTTTCTAGGAAAAACTCGGTATATTTCCATACATAGCATTAAGCATAAGAGAACGAAGCCTAAAGTTTGCATAGGTTCAAAAATAAACTACATGTACAGCACATAACAATGTTCAGGGCACAAAGATATGTTATAAATTCTACACAGGCACACGAACTTTTATTACGTCCGGTCGGAGGACGTAATAATTGTTCCAGGCAAACACTCTCAAAGCCTTAAACAAATCATAATAGAAAAAAGGTGAATCATAAGACATATAAGGTAGAGAATTATTAATATCTTCCATGATACAAAATGTAAATTTTAATATACAATATACTAAAGCAGTGTGATTACTAAGTGTCAAGTTTAACACTTACGAATACTTTACCTCAAAGTCAAGCATAGTAATGCTAAGGTTCTCAATTTCTTCAGGCGACCACGGATGCCTCCACCAGTCAACATTTTCCTTAAGTTGAAGCCTTCTTTTATCTATTATTCTCTTCATAGCCAGATTACCAGCTTTACTCACCAATGCTGCCAAATCAGCACCAACAAAACCTGGTGTGAACCTGGCTATCAAGAAGCGATCAAATTTTCCCTCAATTCTAAGATTACGAGTCAGCACTGACAATATTTCTGCACGCGCATTTTCATCAGGGACACCTAAAGCTATCTCTCTATCAAAGCGTCCAGGTCTCCTCAGAGCTTGATCAATTGCATCGGGTCTGTTTGTAGCTCCAATTACAAGAACGTAACCAGACATTCTATTTGTTATTTTTTCAGATGCTTCTGGGCCATAATCACTATCAATTGCTCTCAGAATTTGCGGTGACTCATCCATGCAAGTCATAAGCTGTGTCACTATTCTACGTTCCATCTCCCTTTGTAAGTTTTCCCTCTTGGAAGCAATGGCATCTATCTCATCAATGAATACAATGGAAGGAGCAGTTCGGTATGCCTTGTTGAAAAGGTCACGTATGCTTTCTTCAGATGCACCTGAAATAACCACATTTTGCAGTTTGTTAAAAACCCATTAACAAAGGTAGAAAGATATTTCAGAAGTTTAGCATAATGTTCTTCATCCTACATTAAAAATACATGAACTACAAGATATATATACCTTATTTTGATAGCATGATGAAAGTTTAAGAAAAAACATTGGGACTGCAAAGTCAAATATGGCAGAAGCAATTCTCACGCTAGAGAAATTGTAAAAACTTAGGAATGAGAGAAAAATTTAAAGTTAACCATAAATAAGAGGGGTCAGGATTTGTTGAAAAGGGCCTAAATATGATCACAAATGCAGCTTTTAGAATGAAAAGGAAGAGTAATCATCATTATTAGCTTCATCTCAGTTATTTGTGGCATGCTTTATCAAATTAACCTTCTTTCATTCCTATTGAGATTACATAAGGTATTAACTCAAGTTTAGTGTCTGGCTAATGGTTTGATAAGATAATGCTTTATCAAATCAACATTGGGATTGCAACCCAAAAAATGAAAGCTCTAGCTAATGGTGAGGCGAGGCCCATCCTAGGCGGCAACTAGTTCAAAAATACATAAAAGACAAAAGACTATGCTAGAATTAAAATATTCTTCAAACAAGAAGCTAATCAAATATTCTTTACTAGGCATATTTCTAGATATTAATTTGGACAAATTAGCTTCAAAATTCATTATTTCATAAAAAAAAATGAATGAAAATTTTTATTTCAAACAAAAAAACATGAAAATCGGAGAACTAATGGACACTCATTACAAATGTGTTAGGTTAATTAAGTCAAAATGCGACTTTGAACTTGTCTCAAGCTTGATGTCATTAGAGAGCCTAAATTCATCTCAGACTTAAGTTCTCTAAGGGAGAGTTCAACCCATTCATTGAACTTACCACAAATTGAAATTGTCCAAGGGAGAGTTCAACTCATCAAAAAAAATAAGGCCATCTAAAAGAGAGTTCAACTTATCCAATAACTAAGGTTATCAAAAGGAGAGTTTAATTAGTCCGAGAACTATAAAGTAGTTCATAAAAGAGTTCAATTCACATGAATACATATAGGCTTTTTTAACAACTTGAAAGCTTGTAATGATGAATAATTGTGAAGCCTTGTTCTCTATTTGGAATCATAAAAGCAATTTGTATACCATTCAAGACAAAAATGTATATATTTTCTTCTGAAAATAGATTATTTAAAAGTAAATCAGCAAAAATAGTACAACTTCACTCTACCTGAGACACCAGAAATCACTTCAGTAGCAGAAATTTTGTAGAATGGCACGCCAGTCTCATTCGCAATTGCATAAGCAAGTTTTGTCTTCCCACACCCAGGCGGACCATGCAACAATATTCCGGCTGTCGGTCTCACCCCAAGCCTTTTGGGCAGCTCTGGATGGCACAACGGTACAATCACCTCCATCATCAAATCCTCCAAAACCATGTTAAGGCCTCCGAGATCCTGAAACCTCGGCCCTTCTCTCCCAGTCTCCCAACTCACAATTTTACTCCTATGATCACTGTCAATAGCTCCCAGACCCACTACAGGAGCCTCCTTCCCACTTCCCCCACCCTTTTTCATCGGGATCTCAATCTTCCTCTTCTCATCAGCAATTGCCTCAATCTCAAGATTCTTCTCCTCCTTCCCTTTTTTAAAGCTCTGCTCTGATTGTTTGACATACCTCTCCCGGAGCATGGATTTCGTCACGTCGAACTCCGGTTCAATATTCCCCTCAAAAGCAGCATCATCGGAAGTGGAAGTTGAATCATCTGACGATTCGGACTGCGAGGAAGGGGCGACCTGGTTTACTTGCAACAGGCGAAGATGCTTGGACTCTGCACGAAGGAGCCGCTCCTCAAATACGTCCTCCTTTCCACGCTTTCTGCGAGATGACCTCTCGCAATCGGAAAATGAGGACGATGAGGTGTTTCCTGCGGCGAGGGGTTTAGAATTACCATTGCGGATGTATTGTAATACTTCGCTGAGTCGGGCGGAGAATGGCCGGATCTTTATCCGAGCGTAGTCGGGGTATTGGTCGCGAAGGCGCTGAATGACGATATCTGGGTCAGGGGAGGCGTTTAGATTTAGGGTTTGGATGCGGCGAATAAGTTTGGATCGATCCATGACTGATGATGGGGAAAATGGCGAGCGACCGCCGCCGCGACCTATCCGCTTCCTCATCAGCGCGCGAAAGGTGGAAATTTACCTTCACAGCCAGCGAACTCACGTTGTTGCTTCCGATCAAAATGTCGTAACTTCCGATCCGACAGGAAGGGAAAGTCGTCGAAGGAGCAAAGTCGAACAGCCACGAATCTCTACACCTCCTGCGAAGCAAGGAAGCCGAACAGCAACAACGAAAAGAGAAATGAAAAGCAAACCCTAGACGTTATTATTGATTAACTTAATTAATAAAATTTAAAATATTAATAATTATGAAAATTAATTAAATAATTAATAGTATATTTTGTACATAAATTAATTATCAAATTTAAATTAATTTAATAATTAGTAATTTAATATTAATATAATTATCTTAATTTATATACCTTAAATACATATTATTAAATATATAATTTACAGTGTAAATAATAAATAATAGGTAACTTGTAATTAACA